CAGACAGACAGGCAGGCAGACAGATAGACAGACAGACAGGCAGACAGGATGACTGACAGACAGGCAAGCAGGCAGACAGACAGGCAGGCAGACAGATAGACAGACAGACAGGCAGACAGGATGACTGACAGACAGGCAAGCAGGCAGACAGACAGGCAGGCAGACAGATAGATAGATGTACACACATACTTGAAAAGATATACTATATATGTAAAAAATACATATAAACATAAATACATGAGAACAGATCAGCAAAAAAAAACTGACAAGACAGAATACTGCTAAACAGCCTGGTCCCTCCCAGCCAAAGACTGAAATAATAAATGGACCGATAACTCTGCACTCCTAACTCTGAAACCTGAAATCTATTTATTTAATGCACATTCTGCTCATCCAATAAATCTTTCTTTAAAATATTTTATGTTTATCTATTTAAAAAAAATTTTGACCCACTAAAATGTTCACCTTGGTGTTTGACGCATGAATCACGCTTCTGAAGCTGACAAAAAAAGTTACTCTGACTTTGATACTACCTAACCAATGAATAAAGTCACGAATATACACGCACACACAGACCAAGACACTATATACACATATATACACACACAAATAGTCAAGCACATGGTAAGGGGAGGCCATGGGAATATGGTATATGTCTTAAAACTGGTGATGACATAATACTGTTTCCCTCCAGACCCGGATGCCCTGGCTTGATTCCACACCCCGATTGTCGGCTCCAGCTTCAAAAGCTCCCCGAAACGACCTCCCCTCCTGTCTCCTGCACCCCCACCCCATCCCTGCGACATGTGGCTTCATCCTGGGGGTGATTCTAGAATTTTTTTAAGGTGTGGGGCATAAGGTGTATTGATTTATAAAGAGGGGGAGGCAACCTTATTTTTAATCAATGATATGGTTTGATTTTTTGAGTGACAGAGGAGTGGGCCAATCAGGTTTCAGCGGTGTCCCTGTGCCTGTATACATCCCTGGCACACCCTGCTGGGAGTGAGTCCTATGTGTGCACGTGCAGGCACAGTTTTATTCAAATCAGCCAGGGGTTTAATCCGTGAGCCTCACCTTGCCTCGCACTGCTGGAGGTGTGGAAAGGCTCAGGATGATATCGCCACCCGATCTTTGCCTTCTCTTTCCAGCCGTGTGGCATTTTTTCAAGGCTTACCCATAATTTGCATGTAAAAGCAGTTAAACATGCACATCACGTGTGCTGGGGGCTGTCAAGGCTGAACCCAGAGGAGGTTTATTTACAAAAGCGTGCACATCACTGAAGGGATGCTTCAGACGTGAGCACAGCCCTGAAAAAGGCTTGGTGGATAGACTACATTTACCGGCCAGTACCAAGGTCCACTGTGGGCTCACTCTATTATTATATTTAATTTATTTAGCAAATGCTTTTATTCAATGCGATGTACAATTGAGAAAGCAGGGCCCCCAAGTCCCTGGTGGAATTTTCGGTTAAGGGTTTTTGCTCAAGGGGTCAATGGTGAAACCACTCTGCCAACCCTGGGATTTGAACCTGCAACCTTCTGATCACAGGAACAGTATTCTGGTCCAAGCATGTGTATTAAAAAAAACAGGTCTGAGGATGGCCAGAAATTGTGCTGAAATATTCCCAGTATAAACAGATCGATGCCAGGAAAACAGATTAACGGCAAATGCTGTTTAGAGAAGACAGTGTAGCAGAAACGGGAAGCCTGGTGCTTCACTGAGTAGCACTGTGGCTTCACACTGCCTGAGCTGAGAGCTTAAATCCCCCAGTTTGCATCCTGATGATGTGGAAATGACGCCCGCCCCCTTCAAAGCATTTTTACAGAAAATCTAAAGGAATAAATGAATACTGCTGGCCCATACCTGCTGCCTTTCATTTGTGTTGCATTTTATTTATGAAAAACACGGCGGAGGGGTGGGGGGAGGGGGGTGGCGACTGAACCTGCACACAGCTTCATAAATGCATCTGCCTCTCCTATATGCAAACACCTACCTACAAAAAGAGCGAGGATCAAGACAGGATTTGCTCCTACCTCCCTCATAACATGGTGCCGTGAAGGAGATGTCATCCAGGGCGATGTCCGTCCACATGTCACCCCCGACCTCAGCCCGGAAGGCCACACGGAAGGGGGTGGGGCTAGACAGCATCACACTGGCATATTTCCACCTGTCGCCCTGGTTACCAGCTGCCGCCCACATCAGCAGGTCGGTGCCGCTCTCGCCGAAGGCGTACACCTGCTCGAACCCGAAAACCATAAGCCACAGCACAGGATCTGAGTAGCGGCTCAGAGTGCGAGTCAAAGCTCAGAGCACAAATCACAGCTCAGTGTGTGATTCACAGCTCGGAGCACGAGTCATAGTGCGGACCGTGAGTCCTGGCACAACCTGGGAGTCACAGTCAGAAAATGAGTCACAGCACAGAACGTAAGACGCAACCCAGAGTACGAGTCACAGCTCAGAGCGCGAGTCACAGTACAGAACGGCATTAAATCTCAGGGCATTAACAACTGGCAGAGATCCAACTGTGAAACGCATAAACATGATGAATTTTAAAGCTTTCACTTTGACTCAACAAAATCCTCTAATGCAAAGGTCTTGGAATCCCACAGGACTCGCGGCATTCCCATAATAGCCTGTGTCTGTCAAACGGGAAGGTGCACTTGGGAGGCAAACCAAAGACGTTGCGCACGCTTTACAAATCGGGCTTTGGAGGCTGCCGGTGGTTGTCAAGACAACATCGTTACTCCCCGTCACACGGGAGGGTTTGCCGTGCTTATTCATGAGGCTCGATTAAACTCAAACCCCATGCAGGTAGCGCCGCTAGGAGCCCCAGAGAGTCTGTCTTGACTTCACCATTGCTTTATTTAGGGCCTGAACGAAGGAATCGGAGGGCCAAACACCTGCCTGCACTCCAGTCCATTGTGTTGAGGTCACCCCCCCCCCCCCCCCAAAGAGCCTCCACTTAAAGGAAAAATTAATCAGCTACTGACATTCAGGTTTTTTTCTTCCTTAACGAGATGAAACCAAATTATACTCCCCAAGAAATGCAAAAACCCTGCAGGCAAAAGGACAAACAGCTCTACGTCTCTCCCCTTGGAACTTGACCAGGACAGCAGAGCTAGGAATTAAGTAGATACATGTAAATTCTTTTATCATTTGGGTACCATTTCAATAGCGAATAACTCCTCAACTTTCACTCATTTACATGCCAAACTGTACAAGCTGAGGGTTGAACCCACAACCTCCCTGTTCCTCAAGCACTTTGGAGGGATTCCCACTCACCTTGAAGGCACCCATCTGCCGCGATCCGTACATGTAGTACCAGAAGCGGAGGTGGCACACGCCAGTGCTGGCTGGGAAGGGGGCTTTTGTCATCACCGTGGCAACATCGCCCTCCCTCTGCACGGCAGAGGAAATGTAAAGGAAGCGCCCCTGTCCGTCTGTGATCAGAGAGAGGAGAGGAACAGTCACAGCACCACACAGAGGCCAGTGTGGGTAACATGCAGCACCTCGCCAACCTCAACCCTAGTAAGAAATTAATGTAGCAATCAACAAATCAAGCGGAATCTTTCAGGTCAAATGTTTGTATGTATATCAAACCCCATGAACTGTTTGGTGGACAAGAAATAAAAAATACTGAAGAATATACTGATGGTTAAGCAGAACTTAATGAGAACCTTGTGATGCTAACCAGCTCTTAGCAGTCTGCATTCCTGGGGTAAGACCTGTCAGATGTTAGAATAAGGCCGTGATACACATCACAGTGTCGCTCCTGGGGTTTACACCAAACACACCCCGATTACACCACTGACACTAAGAAGTCCAACCATGACACCTTCATCTTGGCGAATAATGAAGGACGCCTCAGCATGGCAGATTACAGCAGCTTCAACATGTCCAATCAAAATGACTTTTATATGTCTTCATTATACCACAGTAAAAGAGTATCAGTATAGCGAACAGAATTGAATTGCATTGAACATGAACAGTGAAAATGATTTCTGTATAACCAATCTGCTTCAAGATAGAGTGCATAAACCTAAAAAACAGTGAAATTATGCCCACAATGGTCTGTAATATCATTCAGTTCATTTCATTTCACAACAGAATCAAACCAAGGTCCTTGGCAAGGGTGTGTAGAAATCCATAATTACATAATGTACACAAAATAGCAACATAAACATTCAAAACAGCGTCAACAATCCCACCGAAAACAAAGAGTTAAGAGCTTCTGTAGCATTTCATAACCCATAAATCCTTCAACACAAACCAGACAAAAAGTCTGTAAGCAGAATATTTTACCGCACAGATATTACAGATGGGAGAGGCGTGCTCAGGGAAAAGCAGATTCAACTTTACGAAGCCCCTGTGTTTGGAAGGAGGGGGAGAGAGAATTCCAATTTAGATGCAGACAGTGAGATCACAGAGCGCAGGCTAGGCTAGGCCGATCACCCTGCCCGATATGAGTCCCATGCGAATCGGAGGGCGCCGATCGCGGCGATGAGCTCGGCATTACGTGGTGCTGCATGGAGGAGAATGTCGCTCGCCATCAATCACCCCGTAACTCAGTGCTGACAGCAGGCGAGGCGAGGCGAGGCGAGGCGAGGCGGTCACGTCACGGGACGTCCCGGGGTGTTGGAAATCAAGCAATGGGATGGGGGGGGGGGGGGGGATTAAATCACAGTGATGTTTATGGGGGAGAAGGAGAGCTCAGTCGCTCAATAGACTCCTTCAGGATTAGACTATAATTATAAGTAACTGGCTTTTATTCAAAAGCCCCTTTGCAGCCGCACATAGAGAGAGAGCAGCACCATCCGTGACACTTCAATCCAGTCAGCGCCCCCCGATGACCGCGATCGATATTGCCCTTTTAAGAAGTAAGGATGGACGGGAACAGAGGGAATGTTTTCTACATGAGGTAAGAGGTCTTGGATTTTCCCGCTGGTAAGTGACCTGCGGCCAAGCGACATTCACGCCCGGAACCATTCCATTTCCTGCGGCCTCCGGGCTTGGCACACGACGTGTGTTTTTTACTGTGTGCATGTGTTTTCCATGTTTACTCTCAGATTCCTCAGCACAGTTTATCGGTGTAATCTGCAACACGAGCACGAGCACCCAAGGCCAATCTATCTGGAACAGTATCGCATTGTCAGTATCTGCACAAGCTGATCTCCTACCAACATCAACCTTCATCATCAACACCCACCCACATCCTCTCAATACACCAGACACACAGAGTGGGGGTGGGATTTGAACCCACAACCCTGGGTGTGAGGAGGCAGCACTACCCACTGAACATCTGTATCTATTGTGAGTGACAGACTTCCTGTAAAAATACATCAGCACAATGACTGGCATCCAGTTTATTTTGGAGTCGAATCATACAATATGTTCACATGGGTCATAAACTTTGTTGTTTCATGCTAGCTGTTCACCCCATTGCTGTATATTGCTCTTGTAAATAATCTAATTTTCAGCAGTCGCTGGGATGATCATTTCTGAGCTTTCAAAGTATCTGATGGAGGGATTTCTCTCCTGTTGGCTTAGAGCTTCAGTGGGCTCACAGCTCCAAACCCCACAGCCCAGCTTTCAGTCGACCTTTGACCCTTTAAGTCACATGCTTAGTTGAAAAACCACCCAGCGATAAACCATAGAGAAAACAGAATTAATATAACCAGGGAGTACTTCTGACACAAAATACAAGACAGAAAGTCAGTGTTTCAAACAGATTTAGGTCTTCATTGTATGTACTTCGGGGAATCTCCAGCGAAATTATGTGATGTGTGCTGTAGGTCTGTAGTGACATGACAGGCCTCAGTTCATTGGGCCCCTGGCATTGCTTGCCAAGGATGCAGCCACCTGATTGGACAGAGAGGCCCAGGTCTGCCAGCACATCCTAAACAGGTCCATTTCCTCACTGATCATCCCACATAACCACCAAACAAATTCAGCACCACCATCTGCCAAAGTTCATATCCTACCAGGGTCCAGATCAGCCAGGAAAATGTCAGTTATCTGATAATCAACATCGCAAACAGGGACAGTCTGAGGATATTCTTCAGAGAGACCGATTTTATCATTAGCCAATAATATGTTTTGAATCAGTGAGTAACAGGGTATCCAATCAGCTTTCAGCTCAGGCCAGTGCTCCTGAAGTCCTGATCTCAGACAATTCTATCCAAAGTGATATAACTTAAATTTTTTTATTTACCAGCTTCCATAGACATTGAACATGCAGTGTTTTGAAAATCTCCAGCTCCTTATCTCCCAGTAAACTCACAAAAAGGAGGTTATCCGAAACTGCTAACTGCATGCAGGTTGCCGTGACAATGGCCGCACCCACCTGGGCTGTGGTCTCCTGCAGGCCCCGTTCCCATGGTCTCCCTGGTGTGACCCAGCTTCCAATCAAATTCATCATCAGGGCTCTGGATCAGGTGACACTCATCCTCCCAGGACTGGGCGTCAGGCAGGTTGAAGTTACAGGCCCCAGGGAGGCTCAGGATGTGACCTGGGTAGGAGGCATCAGCGAATAGGGCTTTACACTGTAGCCTGACACAGACATATTGGGATATCCAGGCTATGAACGTCAGGGGTGACATTCTGCCTGGACAGATGTGGGGACGCTTACTGCAGTCCTGCTCATCTGACTCGTCTGCGCAGTCGGCTTTGAGGTCACATGCCAGGTGGGACTCGATGCAGTCACCGTTCTGGCAGATGAAGTCTGTGGCCGCGGGGCAGGATGCCGGAAGAGCCGGGCCTGGAACAACAACTTCAAATTCATTCATCAAGAATGGACACATTTATATATAGAAAATGGAAAAAATCCACTTATAAAAGCACCACAGAAAGAGAAAACAAGAAGGGAAACAGCATCTGTGGTAAGTGCCTTACCTGTACACTCTATAACGATACATCAATTATTTAAGGACACATACGGTGATACAGGCCTGGAGAAATTCACTTGTTAGACAAGGATGGACATGAAGGAATATGTTTATTAGAAGCTAGTGAGATGAGAACTTTCACACTGTGCTTAATGTAGCAGGCAAATCACTGGAGCAGTTTTTAAATAAATACACATATACAAGCCCATTGTTTTGCACCCTGCGTGAAGCCATCAAGCCTCAAGAAATGGTGATTAATGGTTCATCTGACAGACCCACTGGGGACTTATGCCTCAGGAGCTGGTACTGTGTTTGAGGGTGAAGAAGGTGTCCCAGCTCGTTGGGCAACTGGATGGTAAGAGTCTTTTATCTCGTGCCATAGATAAATGGAATAAATATCGACTTCAGGGTATTATCACATTGACCAGCAAACTATAACAATCGTAATGATTCACAGTCTTACTCTTCCGTATTTACACACAGATCTGTCAAAGGAAGAGGAGCTCTCGGTCTGAGGTTAGGAGAAGAGTTTGTCAGGAGATGCAGCACCATTGCTGTAAAGTTGCGAGTTGTCCAGTCCCAGTTGGGTGAAGTTACCTTCTCATCAACAAACCAAACTCAACAATGAGAGCATGGATGCTGAAAAGATGCAGCCAATGCCACCCAGATGATCGATGTAGAGGATTGCTCGACCCCTCAAAATGAACAGGATCTTTTGTGGCCAGGCTCCATTAGCATTTCGCTTAGCGTGGTACCTGCTGCCCATAACACTTGGTGGGGGAGCTCTCCAGCACATAGCCGCTAAACTTATAGCATTTTAACTATTAACTGTCTGGAAAACATTACACCCTTTGTAGTGACTGTCCAACATCGTCCACTCCACTGCGAAGGCGGCTAGATCCTGTTCACGACTCGTCATGCCAATAACTATACAAAGTAACTTAAGATCCACATCCGTTTAACCTTTGGGTCAAGTTCCCATTTAATAACGATATTATAAAGGTTACAATTATCACAGCGTGAGGGTTACTATAGTTTATGGTATATTAGCGATAAAACCGTATGATCTACTTGCCACCTCCCCCTACACCCTGACCCCATCGTTTTTTTCTCTCCCCTCTTGCACTGAGACCTGTAGCTTACTCAGCCCACACTGCCACCTAGTGTCAACCTCCACCACCGCAACAAAGTAACGAATGGCTCCCACACCTGTAGATCATAATGCACTTAATCTTCCCTTACTACTAATCTTACCAGACTACTCCATACGTACTAATCTCCATCCAACCAATCTACCCCCTAACCACTGTTCCTCCATGACTTCCTGTTCCAAGCTACCTCTGATGGCTCCTTCCCAGAGATTACAGGTTTCAGCCAATCGATTCCGGGTCATCACCAACATTCTTCCTCTTCACATCCAATGAAAGGTATACCCTTTCTGATTGGCTCCTTTTTGGCCATGCCCCAACCAGGACTCTTTTCAATATCCACACTTGGTTTCTGATTATAACAGGCTGGAGAGTCTGTGGGATGACTGTTAATGGAAAGTCGTCACAAGTATCTAAGAACATTAAAGTCAACACTGACCTCCATTTAATAACACCCATTGTGTGATCTAGAAGATCACTATGGCTAAAGAGTGATGATTCTAAATGGGGAGGCACTCACTTGGGGCACAGTCAGAGAACTCCAGGTCATCCAAGGCGGCACCACCACTGACGTCAATCGCCCGAATCCCTTCAAAGATCAGCTCAAAGTTCCTCATCTTACTCAGGGGGACCTCAGCCCGGTTCCAGCGCTCACCCTGGTTCCCTGTCATGTTCCACACCTCCGTCAACATGTTGTCCATCTAACAAAACAACAATAAGGGGTTTAGCATTTACTCCACTGAAAGAATGAGAAATGACTCAAGAGAGTAGGGAAGGATCTGAGCTTATAACCAACAAGTTGCTGGATCTATGGATAACTCCAACATAATATTATCCTAAGACAGTAGGAAAAGGTCTGAGCTTATAACTTTATGTTTGTAGTTCTAGTCCTAAAAAGAGACGCTTTGGATTAAACTCAAGTGGTTAAAGTTCAACCAAACAAGTACAGCCATCCATTCACTGCTATCAGCGGGATCACAAAACAGACCATCCTTGAATCTTGGCTAGAAGCTGGAGGAACATATTGGTATCCTTAATATTACATGGTTGAAGCCCTGTCTCAATGACTGTACCACACATCGCATATGCACACACTCCCCTTTGTACAGGGCTTGTGTTTTATTTTTACACAATCCCTTTTCACACCACACGTGGAACAGATTAAACTGAAGCCAGGACTTACACGTTTGTTCATTTATTTACTAAATGCCCCTGCAGTTTTTTTAAGGTCATGTGATTGATTTCTTAAGTGACGCGTGATGTTTACCCTTACGGTGTGATCTCTGAATATACAGCTGAATACATCTGGATGATTTTTTACTTATAGTGCTGCAGTGTGGTGAAGCCACGGTCAGCGGCTGAGCTCAGTGTGTGGGAAGCTCTTTTTCTGTATGCTGTTTTGTGAGGAAAGTAGAATACGGATCGTTCAGGGGATTTTCCAGGAAGAAAACAAACCTATGACTTTGGCAGTGAAGACGACAAGCAGAGGGGAAGGAGAAAAACACTTGATACAAACGACAGGTTTCCTTTTCTTGGTCCATGTGGTTTGTCTCTGGCTCTGCTCCGACTTCCCGCTAAACAGTCACAAAAGGCCCGTTTATATAAAACCCGAAACAAGGCACAGGTGGCACGGCACCAGAGAGCAGGGTCCAAATCGCAGTGTGACTAATCCAAGCCACACAGGCGGCACAGAGCGGGAGCAGCGGACCCATCTGAAGAGCCAGTGCCAAGCCAACAGAATCATTCCTCATTCACCGGGCAGCTGAAGTGAAGACCCTACATGGTCATAACTGCAGGAAATGAATTCCTCATTAAAGACTGAATGAGGTCATATTTTTAAAATCAAAGTTAAAGTACCTAGGCCAATGATTTCAGGGATATAAAAAGGGCATAAGAAATTCTTAAACATAGGTCAATGAATCAATCAGCATAAGCTTATTACCCATCGAGGGGACTTAAAATCACCTTCAAGCCTGTTGAAGACCATGAATGCATGAGACCAGTATAGTGGCCCAACTGGAAGCGGTCCTTTCACTCTGCTGGGGAGGGTTAGTCAATCTGGTTCTGCGTCCTCTCAAATGTGCCAATCCCCTTGTACTTCAGACCCCAGCTGACCCACCGTGTCTCATTACCACAGCCAGATGGGGGCGATGCCAGGAGTGGAGCGCTATGGGTTGTGTGCTTCGCAAACAAGGTGCATATAATGAATGAACGAACGGATGGTTAATGATGATTGAATAAGGATGAATGATCACATATGAATGAATAAAAACTGTTGAATGATGAATGAATAAATGGATGGATGATTGAATGAACGAATCAATCAATTAATTAATTGATTGATTCATGACTGAGAAATATATTTTATTGACTTCTGGCTCTGTGACGCAGTCACCAAAGTTACCATGGCCACGTTCTCGCATGAGACCTGCTGCTCACGGCGCCCCCATTGGGTTTCCTGCTACTCCGGTCCCAGTGATTTACAGGGTTACCCATGAGGCAAAGAGGCTGCCCTGCTTACCTGGGGCTATTAATAACCACCATAGAATTAAATGCCTCCTCATGGGTTTTTACTAACGATGCATTTTCTGTGCTGCTGTTGATATATTTCAGGGCATTTGGCGAAGCTGGGGAAAAACGTCAAAGAAGAAAGGAGAAATATAATATAATTACATTGTAATGAATATATGGCTGGCGTTCATTCCTGACCCCAGAAGCCGGAACATTCTCCCCATGTTTGTGTGGTTTTCCATTATGTACTCCAGTTTTTTCCAAGGAGTGTGTGATAGTACATGTATTACGTTCTTATGTATTTTGTCTACCCTGCGATTTCCTGCAGTGAAAACGTGTGTGTAAATTATAAATCATGCGATACACCTTAAAACAAATCCATAATAATGTGAAACAGATTACATACGGCTTGCAAAAGTACACAGATCTGAATAGTTTTTACATTTGGTTGTTCTTAAGCATGTTGAACATACAGACAGCCTACTCCATATATTCAAAGTGTTCCCGCATTTTCAGAACAAAACCTATAAAAACACAACTCTCCCAGGACAGAGATGATTCAACCATGAAGCCCGGAGAGCTTTCGTCACACTTCAAAAACTTCTAACATTTAGATATGCTTTGGCTGAAATGGGAGAAAATGTGTCAGACCAATGCAGAACATATCACAAATGTGGCTGCGTCATGTGATACGAGATAAGGCCTAAAGCAAGGACTCTGAGGTCCGATGGGACTCCATTAGAAGTGAGTATGAATGAAAAACTGTTTCTGAAGAGCTGCACAGGAATTCACCTTCCAGCAAAGCACAATGCCAGAGCCATGTTGGAAAGGCTACGGAGTAATGAGGTGGGTGACCTGGAGGGCAACCAAGAATATGCTGGAAAAGCATGACATTTTCCGTCCAGGTGATCCTGGGGTAATTAGGAAGAATGTGAGAAAATCTGCTGGGGGGAATGGGAGGTGGAAGTCACCTACGCAGTGTGTAATATCCGCAAGGACACCCAACGCTTTTATCATCGCTGAAAGTGCTTCCAGAAGATACTCAGTTCGGTGGCTTGAACGCTTACGCCATCAAAAACAACTGATATTCCTATCCACTATTACCCATTTCCTGATGTGAACTGCAAGTCTTTCAGTCAGATATTTAGCTTTATAATATTAATGTTGCCCATTTGCTTTCTGAAGTCATTGTGCGAAAACCGCATTGTGCAGAAACCCTGTTGGCAGGCATTGGAACTGCGCGGAAGTCTGCATGAGACTCGATATGCCAGTATCATTGTTCCAGAAAATCATTATAATTAACTCCCCCTTGCTGAGAGATCACCTGGACCCTATAATATGATGACGCTCCAGTGCTGTCTCGAGGCTGGGCTTGGGATCTAGTTTGCAAAATACATTTCATCAAAGGAAGCCAAACCTTCTATCCATTACTGCTTACCCAATACAGGGTCACAGTCAGGCTGAAGTCTATCTAAAAATGCAAACACCTTGGCAAGGGCAGTCATCCCTCACAGGGCATGCAAACACCAATCAGGTCACTCTGCATGTCAGAATTGTGAGAGGAAACCAGAAAACTCACGATCAAAGAGGTGTGAGACCTCAACACTACCCATCAAGCTCTGCATCCACCCTTGCCGTCGTTTATTAATATTCTTCTCAATGGTGTGACTTACATGCCTAATTCCAGTATTCACAAAGTGGTTTCCATGTTCATGATTAAAATGCAATCTAAACAATTCTTTTTAACCATATACATTTATAATTGTTCTTTCATCTTAAGCCAAATACCCTCTGGGGACCAAAAGTAACTTAATAGTGGATGGAAACATTTTTCTAAATATACTCCCAAGTGCGCCACTCTGAACTCTGAACGAGCCCATTACCCAGAACCCAATTTATATTCATGACCCCAGACTGCTGATGGCAGCATTAGAGTAATACCACCTTCAAAGAAGAAGGTTCTGTTTTTGGCCAAAAAAAAAACTACTGAAAAATCTAGCATGGACTTAAGCTGAAGCAAGCTGCAGCCAATGGGAGTCCTAACTGCACACTAATTGAGTTTAGCAACCAATCAAAACGTCTCACCATAAGGTTCACCAGACACTGTAAAGCATGGGTGGGCAATCTTATCCGCAAAGGCCCGGTGTGTATGCAGGTTTTTGGGATAACCTGTAGGTCAGCTATTCAAACCCAGGTGTGACGATTCTTCAGCCAATCAGTCCTCTAATTAGGCAGCGAAAACCCGCATATACAGCGGCCCTTTGCGGATAAGATTGGCCACCCCTGCTGTAAAGACTCTCATTTTCAAAGACGTCTAATGCTTCTAAACCACGGATTTCCAGCCTGGTCCTCTGGGACCCAAAGACGTTCCGCGTTTTTCCTCCTTCCCAACTCCCTGCTCTGGACAAATGAACAGGCCTCTCTGACTCTGGCCAGGTTAACATTAATACATCAGAATATGCTGCACAAATGCAATCGGAAGAGACTCGCATTCGTCTCTGATCCCAACACACCGTTACGCAAATGTTTGACACTCAGCCGGTCACGGAAAGATGGTGACTCCATACATGCACACGTAGCTTGATTAGCTAACCTTCCTGGATGATACTGGTTACAAAAGAAAAACAACAGGCAAAATAGTGATGACAGAATCCCATAAAGCGATTAATAACAACAAGGGTGTAACTATGGTGCTGCCATTAAATCCACCCATCTGAAGAGAGCAGCTGAAAAATACAGACACTCATTCAACTCTGCTGATTTTGTCTCACCATGTTTCAGCATTTTCAAGGGGGGGGGGGGGGTGGTGTTAATTAGAGACTGTCGGTTCCATTTGTCTCCCATGGTGACAGACCGGCGATGCCGCGCTGTGCTGTCATTCGTCGCAAAAATCATACCTTCCGTGAAAG